CTGGAGGCACAGTAATCAAAGTGTTAAAATTCATTTCATGCATATCTCATTTGCTTCTTAGCTGATATTTACCACACAATTCTGTGAGAAAGTAGAGGCCTAAGATGCTCCAGATAAATGGCTCAATTAATTGTACAGAGGTAGACCTCTTTGAGCTGAGCCAGAGCTGTGAGCTCTTTATTAAAAGCACTATTCTGTAGCCCATAACCTTGTTCCTTGACTCCTCTCTGGTTTCCAATTTAAACAAGTCCCCATGCGGCCAGCTCTAAAGGGCTTTGTCTCCCTGTCATTGTTAAGAGAGCTGAGGCATCCTGGAAGTGTGAAATCAGACCTCATGAGTTGAACGGTTCCCCAGGGAACGCCGGACTGTGCAGAAGGTCAAAGTCATGGGCCGGACCATCTAAAAGTGTCTGATCGCCGGTCTGTGACACAGCAAGTTGGGGGTGGGGGGTGGGAGGGCGGGGGCCAGACTGAAGAGGACTGAAATTGAACACATCTTAATTAAAGCCCACAGACAGCAAAACAAAATGTTTTCTAGGCAGCCTGTCAAATGGGGCTTAAATTTAGCTCTGCTAATGAATCCGAGCTGCTAACTGTTATTTCTTAAGATAATAAGACTCTCACGGAAGCTGATAAAAAAACTGTAGCATGTCTTTTTCTGCTGTTTTGTTACTTAAATATTTTCCAACAATGAAGACAGTTTTCCAAAAGAAAAACATGGGAAAAGTCTATGCAAATAAAGGGGTAGTAAACATCTCTCTTAATAACTAGTAGGTTTCCAGACTACAAGACTGGTGAGTCACAAGTCTTTATGCAAAGCCTTGTTTTAGAAAAAGATATGCTCATTTAGTGGGACGATTTCAGTGACAGATTCTGTTAATCGCAAAATTCTCTCTTTCTCTTCCCTTTTCTCTCCCTCTCCCTCTATTGTTTCCTGAAAGAGATGGTGCATTAATTTGAGAGATCAATTCTCCTGGGGTGGAGTTTTGTATTAGTGTACCTTTTAATACAGTGGAAAGGTACAGCATTTTTGAAGGGTTTCACAGTTCTCCCATCTCACTCTTTCTGAGACTGAGTGGCTGATCTCCCTGGGGAGGCTATGACCTCTTCCTCAGGAACTCAAAAAAAAAAAAAAAAAAAAAAAAAAAAAAAAAAAAAAAACCCGGGGGAAAAAAAGGGGGGGGGGGAAAAAAAAAAAATTTTTTTCCTCCCCCCCCCCCCCCTTTTTGGGGCTGGGGGGCTGTTCCCCCGGGGGGGGGTTATCCCCTTTCCCCAGGAACAAAAAAAAAAAAAAAAAAAAAAAAAACCCAGGGGAAAATGAAGGGGAGGGGCTGAAGAGAAGAACTCTTTTCTCTTTCTTCTCTTAGAACTTGAAAGAACCAATAGGCCAGGTCTAAATACTCTGCAAAGAAAGCCTCACTCAGTATAGAAGACTTCAAATGTTCTGTTGAAGCAGAAATTAGGCCCTGCTCAAGGAAAAGAATAATCAGAAGCTAGAAAATACAAATTACAACATGAACCATTTCCCACCACCAAAAAAAAAAATTTGCCCCCTCATTGGTCTTTCTTTCGTCACAATCTGTCCAGTTTTAAGGAACACTTGATTTAGCAGTAGAGAGAATCTTCCCCAGTGAACACAGGGCCAGACAGTCTCTGGGTTTTTCTTTGATGGTACAGAGAAACATTAACCTTTTCACTGACTGGTTGAAAGGTAAGTAAGTTGTACTGAGCAGTATTTTTCAATTACTCAAACTTTTTCCCCCACGAGGAATTTAGCTGACCAACTTTTCAAACCAGAGTGCCACTTTCTCAGGCTGTGAAAGGCTGCCCACAATTTGACTGAAATTTCAATCCACTCTTGTGCCGGCTCAATGCATGTGTATGTGTGGGAGTTGTAAATTGAGGCCTTAACCACCAGAGTTAATCTCTTTTTAAAATCTGTATTAACCTTAATGATTTGAAGTACACTGTCCAACACTGGGCTATTGAGACCGAAGAAAAAACTACCCTCGACTATCAACAGTTTATTAGGGGCTTAACTGAAGTGACCTACTGTAGTAGTGTTCAGCTGAACAGGGCTATAGGCTTTTTGTGGAAAGGGAAAGAATTGAGGGTTTCATTAAAAAGTAATTTGTGCTTTATACTCACTCATTCAAAGAGAGTCTCAATTGCTCTTTATTCACACAGAGTTAATACAGTATCACAATGTTTCTCAATGAATGTGTTGTAACAAAAGAAAAATTTTACATTTTGAAAAGGAAAAATTCTTTGTAACTGCAGCAAGATTGATGGCCACTTAAAAGATTATAGAATCTTTTTCTCCCATGCTCATGTTTAATGATGGAATATTATAATTTAAAAAATTTTGCATGAACAATGGAAATTTAACTTTATGTTCAGATCATTAAAAATATTTTAAAAATAGAGCAAAGTTGGCTAAATATAAATTTGTCTTGTTAGACTTGTCTAGAAAAAAGTGTTCTGAAGCCACCTAAGCATCTTATAGTAATAGCCTCATTTGTACCCAGTCAGAAAATATTTCTGGCTTAGCACAGTTATCAGTGAGTGATTTAAAATCTTCCCCCTCTCCATCCACAGCACTCCTAGATGCTAATTTGATGATCTGAAGACAGCACTATTCACTCAATTCCCCTTTTCAAACTATTTCTTAATATCTTGTAGAGCTTGACTGTTATTAGCCACTGAGATGTACACCATATCTTTAAAGTTCTTCCTTGAAAGAGTAAGAGATAAAGTATACACAGAGCTTATTTGTGCCCCAAATTTAATGGCAAAGACCAGGAGGTACCAGGATATATATAAGTATTTATCCTTTCAGAAGTAAAGATCACTTTAAAACTTGGTGGTATATTCAGACATTTCTGACTTAAATAGAGGGTCCTCAATTTTTGCCACCATCACACATGTCATAAAGACCACAAAAGGTCTAAGAGTGGGCAGGGTCAAAGACTGAATTATCCTCTTGCCTGAATAGTTCAACATCTCTCTTGTTCAATCCAGAGCACATTAGATTATAAGGTCAGAACGAAATGAGGAATCATTAGATTTATATCCCTAAAACTGGAGGAAAGAATGGTGACTCTATTATTTAGTATTCCCCAAATTAATGTTCATTTTATAAAATCAAAATTATGTCTTATTGAATCCCTAGGGGAAAAGCTATTGTTATTCACATAAATTTACATAGAACCATTAGGAAAGAAATATCTCTATTTTTTCCAGCCTTGAAAGAACATGTACTTTAACTTCCATAGTGGCATATAGGCCAACTGGGTTAATGTAGTTTGCATATTCATGAAGTTTTAAAATCAATGACAGCTTCTTTCCAAGAGAAGACAAACTTATGCAATTGCACTCAACTTGTATAATGGACAGTTATCTAAGCCTTTAAAATAAATGGTACTTGAATTTTTTTATAAGAAATTATTGTGCCTAGATTAATTTGATTATAACCAGACCAGAAATAAAATTAATAAAAAAAATGAATAAACTTAACATTCACTAATTATTTAGCACAGGAAGCCAAGTCATCATATATATGGAAAGAGATTACCTCTCTTTCACTATTTTCAGGTATGCCTGTTTTGAAATAATATTTGACAGTTGTTATATTCTTGGTTACAAATGAGTTGATAATTACCTTTTAAAGAAACTAAACTCCCAACACTTTTATTTTTATCACACAATAGATAGTCACTTGATAATATGCAAATATTAAAATTAAAAAATATTGCCGTTTCGGAGCAAACATCTGCTATTTTAGTTTGAAAGCATGTTATTTTTTAATTTGGTTTTGATTCTGTCAAGTTAAAGAAAGGCACAGGGATTTGCAGACCCTTGGATGGTAGAAAAAGTACATTGTTCCCCTGAAATAAGTCTATTACCTCTTTAGGATCATCTTGCCAAACATCTGCAGTGGTAAACATATTTCTGCAAATAATAAGTGGATACTTTCTTTCAGGAACAGTAAAATTTGCACAAAAACTGGTCAAGAGTGTCCTATTTGTTATTCAACTTGAGGTGGATAATTTAAGGAATGATATAAATATTCCCCAAATCCTTATGAAATTAAATAATAATAGTTGCAAATTCAAAACAATGATTTGATTCTGGAAATTGAAAAATAATTACCATCGGCACATTTGTTAATATGTCATAGAGACAGCAATACCCAAATCAGGAAGCTTTAAGAAAAAAGACTAATTTTGGCACTTTTAGAGGTCCGTTTCCTGGTTAAAAAAATTTTCAGACAATCTAGATGCTTAGTTTAGATCCAGAATTAGCTCTGGGATGTGCTAAGGAATTTAGACAACTAAGGAATTGGGTCAAAACCCCAAATATCAAGAGTTCATACCAAATTATTGAGTATTATACATCTGAACTTTTCAGTGCACTATTCGACAGACTGCATGCGTGTCTGAAATACAAGTGTTGATGCTGTAAGTGAAGCTGATACTGAGAAAAGATGATACAGCATTGCTTCAATATGCCAAAATGACAATACCCAGAAAAAAAATTTCCTAACAAGTTAATTGAACTTTGGAGAGAGCAACAATTGAAAACTTATTTTGCTTTTTTTTTTTTCTGACCGGTAAGGGGATCGCAACCCTTGGCTTGGTGTCGTCCGCACCACGCTCAGCCAGTGAGCACACAGGCCATCCCTATATAGGATCTGAACCCGCGTCCTCGGCGCCCAGTGCCGCACTCTCCTGAGTGAGCCACGGGGCCGGCCCTATTTTGCTTTCTTAAAAAAAAAAAATATATATATATATATATATATTATTACCTTGCCTTTAAGAAGCATAGATAGTATAAAAATCAGGGGGATGGCAAATCTTTGTAAGATCAACCCTGAACCTTAATGTTGATATTATTTATTTTGATGATCCAGTCAGTGAAATGCAGAATTAAATTATTAAATGGCATAGACCTTGCATACTGCTTGATAAGCGCAATAGAAGAATCACATCATTTCTTACCTGTGACGTCAGCAGCCATCAACCCTTCTGCTCTGATCACTTTAACCTGGAGAAATCCCACATCTTTCAGGTTGTGAAATATCCGCAGTGGGCTCTGAAAGACCCCGACATTTGTATTAGAAAAGAAAGGTCCTAAGGAGTCTCAAAGAGTGTACCAAGAAAATAAGTTTTATGGTTTATCGAAGGATACTTCTTAAGGGGTTCAAAGGGTCACTTATGTTTCTCCAACACAAATAACCTCTCCAACATTCTGAATGCACACACACACACACACACACACACTTATGTAGATAATTGCTGCTATAGATGTAGATTTTCTGGAAGAATAAAAAAATCACATTCACTCCCCATAAACAATTATCAATAGATGGTGAACAATAAATTATAGAACAGATATGCCTGCTTTTTGTCCCTCAATCTCCTCTACCAAAGCACTCCAAGAAATCTCCCACCTGTAGATATGATGGTTTGGAGACTAATAATTCTTAATATTGAATCTTAAGTTGTTGGTTATATAATACTCTTCAGACTTTGGGGGTAAGAAAATCAACAATAAATAAATAAATTATTTTTTTACTACTATTTTCTTCTTGGTGACTTTTGGAAATTGCATGTGCTAGATGAGGGTAAAATTATCTAAAGACTATTTTCCAATATCTAATTCAAAAGGCATCTGAAGTTCTATAAACCTTTTAGGTAAAAGATGTATATAATCTTTTAAAATAAATCAAATTGATGACTAAAACAAATTCAAAAGCGGTGAGTAAGTTTTCTTAAATTTTTAGTTTTATTTGCTATTTAAATAGGTGTAGAAGCCCAAGTATGGAAAAACTAGGTCCAAGTGATAAAACCTATTCCACTTCATAAATTAATAATGGTGGTGTATTAGTAAGTGTAGTACTTGAAGGAATTAAAAGAGGGAAACCAGTACAATAATTCGGGGGTGTAATTAATGGGCACAAATACTTTGAGAGTAAAATGAACCTATAGAATGCTGATATGCACTTATTTACACTTCATAGCATTTTCCTTACGATGAGAGCACTACTTCTCAGTAAATCAAAGGGACTTCTTTATTATAATCTTTAAAACTTCTCATGACCAGGGAGCATAACACACTTTTGTATAATAAAGTTATTTCTTAAAATGTTACTAGCTTAAAAAGCATTCCCACCATATTATTAATAATGAAAGAACACTGACGAGCAAAAGCTTGCTGCGATATGAATTTTATCAGTCCCGTATGACTAGTCATTGTTTACACCGAAGCTATGACCCTGGTATACTGAGAGGAGGAAATGCAGATGTATGTATAATCTCATAGCCTAATTTTTAAAGAGTGTTCAGCACAAGGATTAACCCTTAATCTTTTATTGTTTTTAAACAGTTGTTTATAACCAAAAATATACTTAAAATACCCAAATGACAGAGTTCAGTAAAAAATGCACTTCTCTCTCCATTTAAATTCCTATTAATTAAGGGTTTCACAGTAGGGGCTTTAGACAGCAGTACTATTATTCAGAGGTTTGTAGGTGTGTTGTGTTCTTACAGTAACAATCAAGTTTAGGAAGTTTATTACTTCGGAGTTTACCCAATGTTATTAACCAGATAAGTCTTCCACCCTAATGATGGATAAGTTTTATGAAAAGGTTCCTGGACTTTAATTTTCAGGAGCAATTTAAACCAAGTTTCATTGTGACTAAAACAAACATCATCAGTCCTCATGTCTGAGAATCATTTCATACTAGTAACCTCATTCCTCAGACATACTGTCTTCTGGATCTTCAGCTCTGATATTCTGCCTCACATTTGGATGGGTAATTATTGTTTGATGGTTTCATTTCCCCGAGTCAGCTGACACTCAGCAATTTGTTTTAAATTTCAACTGTTTAGGCCAGTGATATATAGATTATAATAACTCAAAAATAAAAAAAGCAAATAAATATATCGGTTTAAAAATATAACTTGCAGCAATTCTTCATCACGAGGTATCCTGGCCTTGTTATTTATGGTTATTTTAGAAGGCCTCAAAACCTGGATGGCTTCTGAAGCCAGAAATTTCCATAGCAGAGGAATCTATGATTTGCTGTGAATCCTTTCAGCCCTCAATAGATGGGAAAAGATTGAAATGCTCTGGAGAGGAGTCCTCTTTATTTTTTTAATGAAAGGCTGTATAATATATTTTCTCTATGGCTGCAGCAGCTGTCAGGGAGAGCATCTCAGTTCAGCTCTATTACGGGAGAGGCAATACCCCATCCTATGGCATCGAGATGCTCTGAGGGGCCAGAGCTGATTGACAGCTTGTCACCGTGACGTCTTATTCCATCTCTGTTATGGAGAAAATTAATGTCACACCACCAGCCTTATGACTCGCTGTCATCTTAGAACCGCTCACCTTTTATCAATGCTCTAAATAACATTTCAAGCCCATCGTCTCACGGTGGACAATCCGGTCAAGGGACATTAAATCAGATGACTGTGAAATGTCATAATAAAAATGGAATGCTAACAACTTCTTCTCTAAACTAGCTCCTCTGGTTTTTAAACTGTGACAAGGGGGAGCAAGGGTTCAGCATACCCGTTCTGAAAAGGTCATACAATTGCTCTTGGTCTACTACCCATTACTACCCGCCCCCTATTGACCTTCCCTCCTTTCCTCCTCCTAAAAGAAGAAAAAAGAGAAAAATGGAATTAGCCATCTTTTCAGAACGTGGTGATCAAATAATGGCTCACACAGTAATGTCTGTTTAATTTGTGGGGCTTCAATGCCTAGCAATGAACAGCTAAAGGACAGCGATGAAGAGCTTTTTCAGGGCTGTTCCGTATCAGAGTAGGGCAATTCATTACTTTCATGACCACGATCAGAGCCAAATCAAATTCTTAAGTTTAAACTCAACTTTAGAATATCCCCAATTCTTACAGGAAAACATATCAATAACTCTCCAAAAAAAACCCTTCTTTATCTGTTTCTCCAAAACAAGTGATATTTCAGACATGATACAGCATTCATCCAGTTCATAATCTGTATAACGAAAAGAACTCAACTTTAGAATATCCCCAATTCTTACAGGAAAACATATCAATAACTCTCCAAAAAAACCCCTTCTTTATCTGTTTCTCCAAAACAAGTGATATTTCAGACATGATACAGCATTCATCCAGTTCATAATCTGTATAACGAAAAGGAAACACTTTGAAGACTTAAAATATAGGTCTTCATCTTTGTATTTCTGTGAGTAATTATAACACATGTGCTATATTGCATAGAGTACCTTCTTAGCAACTGTATCTCTAGAGGGAGGTACAGGCCTGTGCCTGAAATTCAGGGCTGAAAAAAAAGTATATTTAAGCATGGTTCACTTGTTAATATATTGAGTAGAATATGATATGAAAATTAGCTGGGACATTCACATAATATTTTACATCTTATTGAATAACTAACATTTGAAAGAAGGTGTGGAAACAAATATTCAAATTCTGAATGGAAATGACCGATTTAAGGAAGTCAATCCATCAAACAGAAAAAAAAAATTAATAATAGATGGATTACTTCTAATTACCTAGGCAGCAGTATCATCTTAACATATGGGATAACATCGAAATATTAATCCATTAACTACAGTACTATAATACCTAGAAGAATTTTTATTTTAATATGCCAATTAATTTTTTTTAAATTGTTTCGATTCATGAGGCTCACTTCTGGTAACAGGTGAATATATTTTGATGGGTCCCAAAATGTAAAATAATAGTTATAATTGCAATTGTATATTAAAAAATGCCACACGATACCTTAGGCTCTTAGGTGGTTTAAAAATATATGCTATTTAGACTTGCTAAGTCACCTCTATTAAACTGTTTATGATAACACCATTGGTGGATGAGTTGTACAAGCTTTAGGAGACAGCTGATTCAGTGGAGATAGCCAGAATAAATTTGCTGAAGCACACATCCTGCTAATCTGTTTGAAGAATATTGTAGAGCATTAGTACCAGCACTTCATGTTATCTGCACAGCCTGATAAGGTACATCTTTATTAAATTCAGTTATTGAAAGGATGTCACTCAGCAAATAGGAATATTTTAAAATCTAAAAAAAAAAAAAAAAAGTGGTCCTTTGTTAGAGCTTGGTTTCATGGCTGAGTGTCTAGTGGAGCCTTCTAAACACCTGGCAGCATTGTACAATACAAGCTTTGTAATTTTAAGTGGAAAAGCTTTTCTCCCAGCTTCATGGGTACTGAGGCATTTACTTTTTCAAGCCTCCATTGAAAGAGAACGGTGGAGTAAGAGCTCCCCTCTCTGTTGATTCAAGAAAACTACATGTGGTTAAATGCACAGTAGCAGGATGCTGGGAAACAGGAAGACTGGTGCTGAATATTTTGGTTTGGTAAAATTTTAGGAGGGTAGTTAATTTTAGTTACTCACTATTCCACTTATTACTCCACATTTGATCAAAAGGAAGGAGGCTTTCTTTTAATTTTATTTCACATTCAATTAAAAATAATTAAAGTAATGGAGTGAGGCTTTTCTGAGCTGTTGAAACAAAAATCACTTACTCCCTAGCTGCCAAGCTTCTAATTAACCTAAGTGCCATTAACTCCATTCCAAACTTGGAAAGACAAAGAAATCTTAATTGCAACTACAAAGAGTCAATGCCTTAGTTTTAAAGTTATGTTGAATAAACTTGACTGTCCTTTATCCCTGCATGATAAAATTACTGAGTAGGATCTCAGAATCCAGAACTTGTTCTGGAAGAGATTCTAGAGAAGCCTGAGTGTCTACACCTCAGTGGGTAATGCAAGTGCTTTTGCAAAGGTCTGTGTGGCATTGACCTTTGTTCAGATTTCTCCTTCTGCTGATTTTCCCATCAGACAGCTTCTCAAAAATACTTCTGTCACTCCGGGCACGTGACTCTGGAAGGAGGATGGTTACATACGTACATATCTCTTTAATATCTCCTCTCGTTCTTTCTGGTCCTCCAAGGAGTTGACAGAGAGGTCAGAGATACTGACTGTGGCCGATGCTGTCAGAGTGACCAGCAGCACCAGGTGTCCCTCACCCTCTTCCAGCTGCAACTCCAGCTTGTGCGTCTGTTCCCTACTGAGGGCTGACAGGTCGACTTGGCACCTAGAAACAAAAGTCTTGAATCAGCGAGTGGCTTTTTTTTGGCCACGTCAAACAGCAGAAGTGCAGGCTGCTCAGACCTATGTGAAAAATAAATCAATAGAAGTACTATTTGGGGGCCGGCCTGTGGCTCACTCGGTAGAGTGTGGTGCTGATAACACCAAGGCCGTGGGTTCGGATCCTATATAGGGATGG